CCCTTTCTGTGACTATTAGGACCCCTTTTCTTTTCCATTCTTCTTTGTCCTGATGAAAATAGATTTTTAATAATTCACACCTTAGCCTAGTTTGAAAGCTTCCTTTATTTTTGTATGTAATCACACACATCATTTTCCACGACTCTTCTCACTGAACGTCAATAAGTTAAGATAAACAACACATAAAATGACAAAAATACCAGAACTAAATTATTGGAACTGGACAGAACGTTCCAAGGATCCCATGAATAGCACTATACATGGAGTAACTTGTTGACTGCCAGGTTCAAAGGAAAGAACATCACATGTACTACTGTGTACTTTCCCATTAGTTATTAATAAGGTGTTAAAAAAATGTAAACATTACTAAGGGAATGTTAACTATAACATAATCCGATATACAACAATTGGCCATACTTACATTAACAGCTACTTGATGGTGTAAGGTATTAAAGAATCCAAATAGTTTCCCCAACTAAAGAAAAGCCATAACAGCATTTGAATTGTGCATCAACCCCTCTGCCAGAAAAATTACAGTTCATAAAATAGCTGCCACATATTTCTAATACTGATATTCCAAGGGCAGCAGACACATTAACACATAAATGTGGTTGTATGTGAAGTCTGAATTTATGTCATAAATAAAAGAAATAAACCAGCATATTTTGTAGATGTACCCAGGTTACAACAGAAGTAAAGAATCAACAGCACACCAATGGGTAGTGTGTGAACACTCTTGCTTCTTCTTTGTTCACGCAGAATGTCACATCTCCAAGCGCAGCGTTTCGGGGCCGCACAGAGTCCCTTCATCGGATTCCCCTATTATGCAGATGGGTGCTGTAGTGAACGTAAAAATCCCTGCCTGTATGTAAACAGTAGTAAAGAAGCCTGATGAAGGGGACCCTGCGTGGCCCCGGAACCTTGCACTTGGAGATGTGACATCATACGTGATTGAAGTTACAATTTCAGATTGTAAGCCCTCACGGGCAGGGCCCTCCTTACCATCTTGTGGTGAATTGTATTGTAATTATAATTAGGGATGCGCCAATACTTTTCAGATACCAGTGCCGATACTTGGCATTTTCACAAGAACTACCAGGGTTGCAGGGGTTGCAGCTGGGACCTGGCTCTGGCGCTCCACCGCTGTCCTGAAATCATTAGTCGATATTGTTTTAAGAAAAACTGTCACATGACAAACAAAAATGTATCAGTACTTGTACTTGCTAAACTGGGATTTGGTGCATCCCTTTATTTATATTTATAGAAACAGAATCATACATTAAAACAGAGATGTACAAATCCCAGGAGCTCCGTGTGCTCCTTACAAATGACAGCTGCCTCCTAACTTTTGAATTTTCCTCTAGTCTAGGAGCTCGAAAAGTATCTGTACTTGTACCGAGTACAGTACTTGGTATTGGTGCATCCCTTATTATAATGTCTTTCCTATATTGTAAAGCGCTGCGCAAACTGTTGGCGCTCTATACATCCTGTATAATAAGAAGAAAAAGAAGAAGCAAGAATGCTCACACACTACCTATTGGTGTTCTGGTGACTTTTTACCACTGTTTATATACAGGCGGAGATTTCTGCATTCACTACAGCACCCATCTGCATAATAGTGGTATCTGGTAAGGTGTGCGGCAGTATCCCCATGGACATCAGGTTACGACAGAAGGTCAATTCCACTCCAAGTCAAGGTTCTGCAAGGGGTGATTTCTGGTGTCTTTTAGCTCTAGATAGGTAGTTATATTTCCCCAAAATGAAACCATTCTGACTGCCTGACACAAAGCTAAATTGAGCTTTGTAGGACTTTATAACTATGTACAGGGATGACCCTACTAGGTAAGCAGTTGTCATTTTCATGAGGGATTTTTTTTTAATACGCAAAACTACGATTTAGGTGGAGATGACCTGTAACTGTTTACATGCAATATAAGAGTGCTGCATGTTTTACAAACACAATTTGCTGCATTTTGAACACATACATAAAACAAAAATGACTTATTTGGATACAGATGACGTTAAATTGACTGTTGAACATAACAAGGACGACTGGGGATTAAAAAAAGAAGCCAAAAAAAACATAGCTGCCTACATACATGGAAGGGAATTTCTTAGGTCCCCAACAATCAGACCTCCAGCTATACCAGGAAGTGTAATCTGATAGACTGCAGGTAACGCCTGGTATGGAAGCCTGAAAATTTGAGTATAATGGCTCTTTAACATTCAAATAATTGATCTCAGTCCACAGAGAAAACAACGGTATCTGGTGACTTTTCTGCCCTTTCTCCTTGTTGGACATTGTAGCATCCCCTCTTCCTGCATGGACATCTGCTTAAACACACCTCTCTTTCAACCAGCACAGATTAGGAACTAGGTGTTTGTGTTGGAATTAGGCCACAAGAGTTTGCCAAGGGTCAGGCAATATGGGTAATATTAAATCTTGCTAGTATTAGGGTCAGTAGGGGCTAAATGCCATCAGTGCCCTTGGGGTCTGGACTGGTAAAAGTGCCCTACATCCAGGGGCACTAGGGTCTCGCTGTTTACAAGAAGGAAATTCGGGCTGAAAATAAAGATCTGTGAGCTTTGTGAACTGAGCCTATTCCAGAAAACGTTTCTTTTTTTATAATTTGAGGGTCTCAAATTAGATTTTATGAAGTTCTAGTATGTTTATCTGTTAAGTCTGGGGAGAGATGGCATATACAGGTTAGCCCAGTCATCAAAAAAAAAAAAAAAACCTCCACAACATCAGAATAAACACCACAGATGTGGCACAATGATGTCTTGTGGCCTCAACACTTCGTGACCTATTAAGAGTGCACAAGGGATAAATGAGATAATAGGATTTTTGTAATCACCATAAAATCCTTTTCTTGGAGTGCATCAAGGGACACAAAAGTCTTTCCCCTTCAGGTTATACTGCACCTACAGGAAGATTGGACACTGGCAAACAAAATTGTAGGCCAGTCCAGGATCAGTCAGTTTTGCAGCAATGCAAAAGCATAACAATAAACAGAGGAGTGGGACAGCCATGCTGTTAAAGCCAGCAACCATGAAGCAGGAGGGCAAAATAGTCCTTGGGACAGAAGATCCTGACAACCATGTAGAGCCCACTAAGTGTCTGCCTGAGGTCTTACCAGGTCAGCGTACCACATCTGCCTGGGCCAGTCCAGATGAGGATCACTGGAGTAGTCTCCACTTTAATCCTGCAAAGAAGATGAGGAAGAGGTTCCAGGGGAGGAACGGCATAGATCTGGATGTAATAACAGAAGTAACAGAATCTGATTCCGTTGGTTACAAGCATCCCGGAAAGGCTAAACATCCCCCCCACTCTGGAAATTGGGGCTGCGCCTTCATGAAAAAGGCTGGTTTGAGGATCTAGCAGACTTAGAGTGCCAGGGCAAGTTGGTAGATGGGGAGCCAAGCTTGGAGAAGTAGAGGTAGTGGAGAAACCAAAAGGATGTTTCTTAACAGATGAGGAGGGAGAAACCTAGGTTGATCTTGCCACCAGTAGCAGCTGTGATGATGTTGTCAAGTCCTGGTCTGAAGAGTCAATGTCCCTTGAGTGCCATCAGTGGGAATCAAATGCTTTTTACACAAGCATTTCACAGTCCAGCACTTTAGTCAAAGTGATCTACCTATATGTAGTGACATAAGACACATACAATAGGAAACTCTGGTTGTCCACAGAGAGAGACACGGAACACTTTCTCTCATTATCATACATTACTTCTAGACCTTTAACCCTTTGCTGGGACAGTGTTCAAATCTGGCTTACAACTTATGAGATCTGCCAGGACAATACAGACAGGTATAATTAATTAGGTTAAACATTAACTCCCCACCCCCCTTGCATTCCAGAGGAAAATATATTTCAATAAAGAGCAAGTAATTTGTAAGCAAGTGTTACATATTTGTGTAAAGATATGCTATGTTAGTGTGAATATGTAACACATATTAAATAGGTGTTATCCCAATCTAGCAGCAAAAGTGGAAATACACTTTAAAGAGACGTGGCCTCTACCAGAATAGTAAGTACCCTGTTAAGGCGGAACGCTGCCAGATCCACAGTTGGAATAGATCACATCTCCACAAAGTCCTCACCAAAACAGATACAAGGCTAATAAGCATTTAAACAGAGCCAACAGCTTATTGGGGTGTTTCCAATCTCCATGGAGATATAGATGGAAAAGCAGGTGCAAAGGGAAAGGTTTTGCAGCCTTAGGAGTTTTAAACAACCCAAGATTGAAAACACCATTGGTAAAAGCAACAGGCTCATCCTCTAGTTTCAGAGTGGTGCACACCGCATTATTAAGAGATACAATGGTCTCTTTAAATTTAGGAGTGATAGCAGACAACTGCGACTCATTAGGAGTAAGCTCTTCCGTCAACTAGAGTGACTCAAAATTTTAGTCAGTCTTGGGAGCTGATGGTTCAGGAAACTGTCGCCTATTGGCTCGAAAGGTCACAGGCAAATCAGATCTAGAATCTGCAGGAGAGGGTATGGGAGCACAGTGCTACAATCAGAGTCAGCAAATAAGTGGTGATTTGGGTCAAAGTCTTCCATGACTGTGGTAAACACCTCAGCTGAGACAGTAAAAGGCCCAACCACATTCAACTGAACAAGACTCCAAGAGCAGAGGATAACATGACTCCAGGCTGTGCAATTGAAGAAAACAGGGTGCAAAAATAAGATAGTCTTTTACACAGTGGTGCTGAACAAAAGACGTCCATCCTCCTAAGACACCAGCAAAAAAACTGAGGCATGCTGTTAGTGGGATGGGTTATCCTGGGCTGGCCTGTAGTTTTTTTTGTTTGCCAGTGGCCAATCCTCTGGTAGGCAACAGTATAACCTGAAGGTTAAAGACTTCCTGTGCCCCTCAATGGATAAGATAGAAACCTAGCGTTCATTGAATAAAGAAGAAAGTTATTTCTAACTTAGTTACATTAGTTCATATTTCCGGATACTATACATGATTATATAGTCCTGAATCTGTACTTTCACATTATTTAAACAGCAGTATCCAAAAACTAAAAAACATATCTCAAGAAAGTCAGGAGTTCCTGAACACATAATCGTGAATAAAATTAAGCAGACCTAGTGTGCCCAAAATACTAACAATGATGGGTGCAGACCTGCAGCGAACAAGGTATGAATACCATAAATAAGGGCAATAGCCTTTCAATGGAGTGTTGTGCTACAAACCCAAGCCTTTGGAGGATGATGCTTGATAACAGATAGCAAACATAGGAGGTAAGTGCATCATCCATGTATTGCTTACTGTGTCTCCCTTTCTTTGCCTTGCAGGCCTTGGAGTCACATGATCATTCACTGCCACCTAGGCTGATTCAGACTGCCTGAAACCATCACCTATATACGGCAAGCTCATTCATTCCTTTAACCATATATATATATATGTAACTATTTATACTAACTATACAATCTGGTTTTCCCCTTTCCCCCGGCTTTTGATTTATTGTAACAATTCCTACCAACAGATTCAAGCACCAGGCTGTTGGGCTGTATGTATATAAATTGAACTCACAAACATTTGCCCCCGTTAACCAGGGATGGATACTCTCTGGGACACCATATACACACCACTATCAATTATGCACCATATCAAAGGGAATGGGAAGAGAGTTGAAGAGACAATTGAACTACTAAAGAACAGCGGAAATGAGGTTTTTTTTCCAACCCCTGGGAATGTATTTCTTGAAGTCCCGAGAAACTCTTACATTTGATTGGAGTAGCCGTAGTTTGGTGTTGCTGAGTACTGAGGTTCTTGCTGTGTCACGGCACCTTGTGCTGCCCCAAGAGCTGCATTCTGAGCCGCCTGCTGAACATGAGGGTTTTTCCAAGCGCCTGTGGTCCACTCCTCCTGTGCCTTACTCATGCTGCCTCCAGCTCCACGGTAAAATTTGTGTACCTATTTGGGAGCAAGAAGATGGTTACATTCCCAGAAGTCATTTGACATTGCCCAAGTAATATTTTTCACTTTGTTACACGCAGTTCAACAAAATAAAATTAAAAGCTGAACTCCCAACTGGAGCAAAATAATTTAAGTTAGGTGACCGAGACCTTAGTGTAAGCCTGGATCAATTTGTTTTCCACGGCCAGAACCGAGGAGTATGCGTCCTTCTCTCAGTGTAGAGCGGCGGCGGCCGCACAACATGCTGGGGGCTCTACACTGAGAGAAGGACGGGGTTCACGGTCTCGGCCTCTTTCCCCTCATCTGCTTCGGCAAATGTGATCCAGGTGTTGTCGGTATGGGGTAGTAGAGCTACACGCACAATGATCCATTTCAATGACAACCTCCCTCTCCTGAAGAAGCGCCGCTAAGCGCGAAACGTTGAGAGAAAACAATGCTCCTCCACTGTTAACATCCTATGCTGTATCATGTAATATGTTTTTGTACCTTATTATCTAATCATGTTCATCATTGGTTTCCATTATCATGTATTTGTAATCCAACCAATCATGTTACTTATGAAGGATAGAACAGAAAGGGAGTGAGCTTGTAGGGAGACTTAAATAATCATGTTGTCATTTTTATAACATTAATTCATTTATTTTAATAATTGATCACGATTAATAAACATATATATTTTTACAAATGTATTAGTTTGGAAATTGTCATTCAGATGCCCAAAAACCCCAGCTTTTCTTTCTCTTTTTTATGGAGCAAAAGAATCTGGAGCAGTTGCCTTTGGCAACCAATCAGCTTCTCTCTTCAGTTTGTTCAGTTAAGGGTTGAAAATGAAAGGTAAGATGCTGATTGGTTGCCATGCACAGCTGCTCCAGATTTTGTCTGCTCCAGTTTTGATAAAGTCCCCTCATACAGTTTTAGTGGTGCAATACTAAGCAAATCATAACAGGATGTGGATTGCCTAACAGGTATAATAGTAGTGTAGTAAGGGACCTTAGAATAAGGAGGGTTCAAAGTATGATAGTACTCCATCAGAGTATCTGCCACAGTGGAGGAAAACAACATACCGTAAGAGTACAATATCCACATACATGGACTGCACTGTACTAAAATGATATATGATATATATATATATATATATAAATGCATACTGCAATTATATTGTGCATGTGGCAGCGAGAGGTAGAATTGATGGGAATCATGCATGCAAACATTGTTTTTAATGTTGTTGATGGATATTCATTGGAATAATAAAGTTAGATTGTTGTATGAAAAAGTCTGATGCCTCTTAAAACTATTATTAGAAGGGGTGAGGTGTCAAAACACCTAGTGGGAAATAGCCCTGGACAATTGTGGTGGTGGCGTTGGGAGGGGAATGATTTGGGTTTGTTTCTACAATGCAGGTATGCACACCTTGCCTGAATTCAGATGGTATATAAGTCATGTTTTCTTGTAGCAACATTTGGGAATGCCATGTAAATGTAAGGTGGTATCTACAGTAGGTGGTACTAGATCCTAATCAATATCCAAAAGCTTCTGGTTGATTTCACGGATCGTATTGCAAAAGGGGCAAATGACTGGGCAGGTCTAGAAGACATGTAGCATAGCTCCCTCTGCAGAAGTACAACTAGAGCTGCAACAATTATTCGATTAAGTTGATTAAAATAGACGATGGAAAACGCTGACAACGTTTACCATCGTCGATTTTAATCAACTTAAATCGAATAATATCGACGATGGTAAACGGTGTCAGCGTTTTCCATTGTCGATTTTAATCAACTTAATCGAATAATTGTTGCAGCTCTAGTTGTACTTCTGCAGAGGGAGCTATGCTACATGTCTTCTTCGGCTAAAATTTAAATTTCCCACTCACGCCCGCCTGTTCGCAGCTCCATACACGAGTTACGCTATGCACGCTGCGGATGCCATGCCCACTGCGCACACGGCCGTCGGACACACGCCCGCAGAGCACGCCGCAGCAGCGACTTACAAGGGTTCAGAAACAGGTAAGGGGGACCTGTTTTAATGTTTCCTGTTTAAAAATTAAAAAAAAGCAGCACACTGTAGAACACCAACAGCTATAAAGGAACAACAAACCCCAGCAATAATATATTAAACACCCTGTATAATATATTATTGCTGGGATTTGTTGTTCCTCTATAGCTGGTGGTATTCTCCATCGCGCTGTATAATGTATTATTGCTGTGATTTGTAGTTCCTCTATAACTGGTCAGTGGTAATCTGCATTGCGCAGTATAATCATTATACAGCGCACTGCAGAATACCACCAGCTATAGAGGACTACAAATCCCAGCAATAATACATTATATACAGCGCAATGCAGAATAACCCCAGCTACAGAGGACTACAAATCCCAGCAATAGTACATTATAGTATAATGTACTATTGCTACATTCCTCTATAGCTGCTGGTATTCTGCACTGTGCCACTGTATAATGTACTATATTGCACACCACACTCTTTTTTTTACTTCCACCATGCCAAGCTTGCTCCCGTGATGGACTACAATCTCAATAGAAACTAGTAGTCCATCACTGGAGCCTTTTTTTTTTTTATCCGATTAATCGAACTTAATAAATCGGCTAACTAATTGATTATGAAAATAATCATTAGCTGCAGCCCTAAGTACAACAATAACATGTGAGAGAGGTGGTGGGGAAGAGTCTGTGTAGTTTGGCTGGTACAGGATAGCATCTAGTGAGGATTTTGTATCCTGTTTCTTGGATCTTATTGGCTATGGAAGCCTTGTGAGCAAAGTAGATAATGTAATCCGTTTAGTCTCTGCTAAAAGTGATATCTCAATGGGAAGAGAAATTGGGTATGTAAAATGGGACATAACCGTCCACAGGGCAAGTAAAAAGGGCATAGCTATGTGATGGAATGGGTCTGATATTAGCTTTTGTGGAACATACACATTGGAGCGGTGTTCAAGGGGTAAACACGTGTCCTCCGGACAGGGTTCACAAGGAAGTGCTGTATTTTCATGCCTCTTCAGAAGTCAAGTGGAGGAATGATCATGTGTTCAATTTCAGGAATGAATTTAAACCCGTCTCCTGGCCTAAAGTTCATTGGAGTCCAGTTTTGATATTCTGTACACATGAGTCTCTGCTAAACCACTCACAGGATATGTTTGCATGTAAAGGTGGTGAAATCATACCCTGACCCAGCCCTATGTTCAGTGATTTAGGAAGTTGTCAACCGCAGCAATCACTACACAAGTAAAACAGCTCAGAAAACGGAGAACATCACAAACATTTGTATTCCCTTTATACCTTAGTCAATGCTATAAAAGACAAGATGGCCACAGCTGTGAACATAATGGTAGGAATCAGCATCACCACTGCAGACCCCACATTTGTTCCAAAGAAGGAAATTGCTGCAATCCATCCGCTGAAAGAAGGAAAACAGAACAAAGCTACATGAGAGGATGCCACAGTATTTGAGTTAACTCTTTCCTGACCTGAGATCATTGAAACCTAGACGCCCATACAAAACTTAGCAGCGTCCGTGTGCATTGGTTACCTTTATAATAATGGTACAACCAATTTCCCTACCTACTGTAATTCATGTTTATATCGCTTTTTAACCAGTTGACATCCGCGGTGTTAAACCCCCTTCCCATCCAGGCCAAACATTTTATTTGTTACACTGCTAATTAATGCCCCGTGTATGTTTATTCATATAAGCCATACAATTGACAAACATGTTTAAAAAATGTATTTCTTCACTTAAAGTGGACATTTACCCTCTTTGACTAAAATCACATCAGCATACAGCTCTGCCTAACGACATGAAATCATCTTACATTCATTAAACAAACAAGTTTTTCTTTTACTTATAATTTCTTGTTTTCCACTTCCTGGTTTGCTTTGGCAAAAATGATGTTCTTGTGCCCAAGATAAATAAGGAAAAGATAAACAGGGTAGGCAAAGAATAAAAAGCCTGCAATTTAGGGCTGCAACAACTAATCGATAAAATCGAAAGGAATCGATAATGAGAATCGATTAGTTGATTCTCTCCTGGCCATCACCCCCGCAGCAACCCTGCTGCAGTCTGTCACCTCTGATCCCCACTCCTGTATCGGAAGAGGCAGCAGGCATCGGAGGGGACAAAGACCAGCTGTCAGGCGCCAGGGCCGCTCAGAGAAAGATGTCAGAGAGGGGAGCGTGTCAGGGCACAGTGCGGCGCTGCTGGATGGGTCGGAGGCAGTGGGTGTGTGCAATAGCTAGTCTGCTATTGGCTATTGCAATTTGAAATATTAGCAGCAGAGGAGGACCTGAAGAAGAACTTTCTCCTTTAGGTCCCTCCTCTGTTGATTGACAGCAGGCAGTGGGTAGGTGCTATAGGCAGCCTGCTATTGGCTATTCAAAAACCAATAGCGGGCTAGCTATTGGGCACACCCACTGCCTGCTGTGCTTACATTTTTGTCATTTCCTGGCTGAAGCCATTCAAGCCATTTGTGCTTAAATAGCTCCTTTGACGGGAAAGGTGACCCTAATACCACCTTAAAGAGAACCTGTCATCTCCAATGTGCTATTACATAGGGGGCTTGTGAGGTTTGTGTTCTCTTTTTTTTAGGTGGGGGAAAGTCATATATGTGCTCTCATGTGCTGTCATAAAAGATGACTGGGGTAAGGATGATTAGAAGAAGTATACAAATGCGGTAGAACATCCACACCCTGTGTTAACAGGATCATGCAATCCATTCACTTCATACAGGAACGGCTGCGAAGAGTAGCAATGTGTAGTAAGAGGAACTGTAGCCTCAATACCCATAGTTGCTACAGTCTATGCCCAATTAATAGTGTGACAATATAAAGCAAAGCCAACGCTTCACTGAAAACCAGAACGTATAAATCCATTTATCTTATTACACCCTCTCTGCACCAGGTGATTGGGAGCAAGTGCTATGAAGGTCCACAGAATGGCCCTTTAAGTACCTGTGTGTGAAAGTGCTAAAATGGTTAGGAAACAGTCAACCAGAAAGCATCATGTATGAGTATTTGAACTTAGAGCATTCCCCTGACTAAGGCCTCATTCAGATGGGTGTGCTTGTTTGTACAGTTTGCACTCCCATAAAATGGGCTGATCCCAAAAGGGACAGGTGCTGCGTGTAATTGTGCGCAGCTGCCTATTTTTCCACATAGGAAGACGTGGCTGCCTGCAATTACACGCTGTCACACGCACGCCTGAACCTGCACATATATGCACAGTGTGAGGCTGCAGTGTGACAGTGTGCGTCCAAGTGCTGGACACCTGGACCTGCACGGATGTGCATTTTCGGGTGTGACAGTGTGTAATTGCGTAATCGCGTCCTCCCACAGGGAAGAAAAGGCCGTTGCATGCAATTACATGCAGCACCTGTCCCTTGCGGGATCGGGTCATTTTACAGGAGTATACGCTGTACAGACGTGCACACCCATCTGAATGAGCCCTAAATGCAAAAACTGACAATAGTAGTTACCCAGCAAATGACCTGAGGTTAATATTGTCTTGGATGTACATAAACTCTCACCAGACTCCCCAGCCAGGAATGCCAACAGCTTGTATTATGCTAATAACCAACTGGGCCAAGAAGGTAAAGAAGAAAGCCATGAAGTTAAAGGAGCTGTCCGACCTGTCAAAGGAGAAAAATCACACGTCAGACACAGAATTTGTACAGAACAAGTCACATGTAGCAAACGGCAACAAGGGGAACGAAGGGAAGTATTCCCACCATGCAACCAATCGATGTTAGCACAATGTATAGGGGTTGACTAAAGAACAGACAGGCAGAAGGTATATAATATACACACAAATAACGTGTTAAGTAAATCCTGCCATGCCGACGTTGTATGCTGTTACATTACACAAAATGTCTTGCCGTGGTTTGCAGTGTTTAGTAAACAAGAGAACGGGGAAAGACCTATGCAGGTACATGAGACTGTTAAAGACAGACAGGCTAAAGTTACATGTTCTTTTTTAGTCTCTTCAGACTTTATAAATAAAAGATAACAGAACTAATTACAAATGCAAAGTTGGTAAAAGACCAGTTACATATGCTATTTTCAGACTGTGCAGCTGAACCATTGATCACAATGATTTCTGCTTTTAGTATTTGGTGCAGTGTAGCCTCAGCCTACTATAGAAAGTGAAAGTATACAGAGTCATGTTTAACCAGTTGACATCCGCGGTGTTAAACCCCCTTCCCATCCAGGCCATTTTTCAGTATTCAGCGCTGCGGTACTTTAACTGACATTTATTCCGTCATGCAGCGCTGTACTGAAATGAATTTTATACCCTTTTTTGGGGACAGAAAGCAAGAGGTTAAAGTAGATAAAGTGTAAGAACACCTCTCCCCTCCTGCCCTCTGTGCTCCCTTAAAGTCAAATATGCTTACTGGTTGTGGAGTAAAAAATGCTCCAGGGCCCCACAGGGGCTGGCCATGTGATTAAATGCCTAGGGGTTTGCTTACTGGATCCTACTGAAGTGAAAGCCTGACCATCAGGTGTCATGACCAGCCACCATAAAATCCTGGACATGTTTTCCACAAAAACTGCCAAGTACATTGTGCATCCCTTCTGCGAATTTCACTTTAGGGTAAAGGGTTGGCGGGTGACGTTATTACACTTTGGGTTATCAGTAAAGGGAACAAGTATGTATTGTGGACAAATGATTTAATGGAAATGCGCGGTCACATACTTACCTGAAAGCTTTGTAAATAGGTCTGAACCAGCACACATAGGAACAGGGAGTGAAAAGGATGAGCCATAGAAATGCCAGGCCGAAATTAGTGGCTCCGCCTCCTCCAATCAGCCACGCCAGGCAGCCAATCAGATTCACCGCCAACGTGATGCTGTTCACTGCACGCACAAACCGGGTCACGCAGAGGCACACACATGCAGCAAGAAGAAGAGAGCCAAAGATAAGAATGAGGTTGGGGTAAAGTCAGAGCATAGGAGTCAGACTCTATAACCCTCCCAACCCTGGACCTCCATACTACACTCAGAGAATGGCATCACAGTGTATGAGTGGCATCTTCCCAGCTTTGGGGAGCAGATCACATCATGTATCCCCAGAATCAACATAGGCAAGCTGTGCATCACACAGAAGATGTGCATCATAATAGTGAATGCATTAGGGTGATCATGCAAAATAACACAGATGTAAAAAAGCACACACAGAGCATGTCTAAAACCAGTGCAGCAACCTTAGATGTGAGCTGGTGCAGACAAAGGCAGATTCACCTTGACAAGCAGCCTGCGCCTGAGCAGTATTCTTTTCATTGCTGCAGGACTGGGGAATGACCATGTGAGCAATGATGAAAATGCCCAGCCAGATCAAATGCTCCACATACTTCATTTAATGTTCATATGTCCAGTCGCACTACTATGGGGGCAATGGACAAGTATACAGTAGGGGAAGGTGGGCGGAAAGGGAAGAAAAAGAAAAAATGATATTCATGGGATGTATACACAGACAAATGATTAAACACAATGTTTGGGCTTCCATTCTACTAGCAGGGGTACGCTGATATGCATCACAAGATCAGTTATTGGCACAGCAAGTCTCAGAAAGAGAAATCCTCAAATTATGGTCTGTTGGGGCTACTTCAGTGGAGGAGTGCAGAAACACTCCAGTCCATACATCAACTTTGCTCAGGACCAAAGTGTCTTTTTGTTTTTATCCTCTTGTACTCTGAAAGTTTTACTTCTTTTCATGCATGTTTATATGGGCAATGCCAACTATGCTGTCACATAAGAAGCATGAAGACCAGTCCAGGTTCCTACTTACGCATCCATAGATAATAAAGACGTTTGGCCATGGTCCGATGTTGGTCAGGAATATCGGTTTCAAAATCCTGGTAGAAACATGGCTTTAGAGGTATGAAGCGAGGGAGAGGGGGGAAGTTATTCTGTTTATCTGTGTGGAAAGAAAAAAGGTTTGATGTAGTATAGTATACTTTTTTCAATATTTTAGAAGGCAGAAATAAAGAAAGCATCAAGAAACAGAATTATTAAGGTTTTATATAGTAGTGGCAACTGTGACGACACGGTGATCAGTTTATAAGTTAAATGTGTATTGGTGTTGAAGGATCGTCCTCGTTCCCCAGGAGCAGTTTGGAATCCAGTTAGAGGAGGAAGCCGTCCTCCCACCCCAACAGCAAGCCAGAACTGAGGATGTGGATTCCCCAGCAGAAGTGCTGACACCCGGGCAGAGTACCACTGGCCTATGTCCCACACTGTTGCCTGTTCCAACCTCCATGGGAGAACAGGAAGCGGGCCTCTCTACCAGCACGTGGCTTTGGTGTCCAGAAGATTGTGGCTTTATCTCTCTCCAGAGGCAGCATGTTTGTCAGGAAGGCACAGACAACATCTCTCTCCAGCAGCAGAGGCAGGACGTCCTTTGGATGCAATATGTGGACTTATGCTGCCCGACAAATGCAGGTCCAGACCAGTTGGGGGACTGGGACCTAATAAGTCTACTTTTGGGGGGGAAGAAATGTCACAGTACCCACCGTGACCGAGGCTCCTGGAGGGGGCTGGCGGCCGGCCTCCTTCCCAGTGACTATGGACCTAGGATTATGGAGACCCCCCTTGTTTGGTTGAACCGGGTGTCCGGGGCCCATGGACGGCTGTTGCGGTGGAGCCTGGCCCTCCAGCTGTCCAATTTGCCAATTCATTACCGGCTCTGGAAACCCAATACTGATGGACTATCCCGCCAAACGGAACTGAAAGGGTGACTAACATCATGGACATCCCCAAGTGGACCCGTAGAGGGTCTCACCGGGTCTGCCATCTTTTAACTTGGGGGAGCTATGTGACGACATGGTGATCAGTTTATGTGTATTGGTTAAGTTAAATGTGTATTGGTATTGAGTTATGTTTGAGTGCGTTATGCTGTGTGACCTGGTTATGGAAAGACTATCAGCACCATCCCTCGTTATCTCCCATTGTTCTCTGAGGGAGCTCAGAACAATGACATTCTGGCCAGGCTCCTGCTATGGCTGTCTGGAGTTCGTTAGCAGGTGGACACCTGTGGTGTTGAGCAGACCGATGGTCTGGGAGGAGGGGAGGTGGATGTGATGGGATTATATTCTGATTTCATCACTTGCTGTATATAAGTTTGTGCAGTTGCTCAATAAATCAGAGTTTGTTTACCCTACACTAAAGCCTTGGCTAGTGACTGGGGAAACTGGGAGCTACAGATCAGCGGGTTCCAATATCTCCTCAGCAAGGAAGAAGACAGCGGCGGACATACTCATCCTGAGTACGGGGGTCCGTCACAGCAACAGTTTATCCTCCAGTGAAAAATTGAAATAATGTACTAAGGCGGAAGTAGAATAAACAGATTTCTCCATCTGCTTGGAAAACCTCTCTGTAGTACCACCGATCTCTGTTCCTACAACCCTCAGGTTATAACAGTGCATGGAGCTGCAATTTCTAGCATAGCCTAGCCTCAAGGGGGTCAATAGCAGAAATCACCAGAGGGTGACCACTGTACTGGTCACCGTTACTATATGCCAGACTTTGTCTATGTATCTAATTCTCTCAGCTTGATTCTACTACAACAAAACACAGAATGTAGCATTTGTTACATAGTCAGGTTGAAAAGAGACACAAGTCCATCGAGTTCACCCTATAGAGTTATAAGCTCATAATTTTGGAAAGCAGGCAAATGAAACAGAGGGCAACACTGAAAGGAGCAAATCCTCCATGGAGGGGCTACTTTATATCTGAGGGGAAAAATCCCCCTTAATTCATTCTTTGGATTTTAGTTTTTTTAAATATGGAGGCTCAGCATCACGTGTGTGCTACCTAGGGTGGTCTGCATGTAAATGCTCGCCCACTCCTAAGCAAACATCCATTCACTGAACGCCCCAGTAAAGGCCACAGGGACAAGCAAAAAAGAAAGGATATGTGCTGAAAGTGCATCTATCCTTTGATCAACAAACAATTAATATTCCAAGCTATGCCCAAGTAAACATACTGCAACATAAGTGAAAAACCATTCTAAAGCTAGCCAAACACCTTAAAGATTTCTAGGGCTGCAACCAACTATTCGATTATGAGAATAGTTGTCAATTACTCTCATTATCAATTAGTTGGTTGGATCCCCTAGCTCACTCCTCCACGCTGGGAGGAAGGCACAGCAAGCAGTGGGTGGGTGCAATAGCCAGCCTGCTATTGGAATTTGAAACGGCCAATAGCAGGCTGGCTGTATTTCATTTTAAATTCAGGATGGTATTTCATTTTTTTTTTATCCGAGTAATCGAAAAAAATTATCGGCCCACTAATTGATTATGAAAATAATCATTAGTTGCAGCTCTAAAGATTTCACCCACTGAGAAATCATTCCATTCCCCCTTCCACACTTTAGTGGATGGAGGAATCTCCCCCACCAGCGAGTGTATTCGGACAGATGATGCCTGCTTCTGTCAGACTACCTGAGCTGATTGGCTGCAGTCAATGTTTGGCCCACAATTGTCCACCAAGTTCCTTTTGATCTTTAGATGGAAGTTTGTCAAGCCGGGTGGTGTCGGATCAGTCAACCATGGATCGAATTTCTGCCAATTCAGCAGGAAATGGATGCAATTCAATCCGAGTATGGCCGGCTTTACATAGTTTGCACTTATTAAGCTAATAAATTCATAGGCTGCAATTTTGATAAGCATATGTCGACTTGACTTGCGCTACGGGCATATACTTTACCACCCTGAAAAATACGATCCTACAGGTCATGTAGGTAGATGTACACACTACATTTAGCGGCCGAAGTATAAAAGGTATCCTTTTTTACATTTATATACAGCAAATACATCTAGCTGCAAAACTGTGAGAACTAAGCAAAGTACAGCACAAAAAAAAAAAAACTATTGTTTTTCTAAGCCCCTTAGTGTAAACGCACGGCTATGCATTTAAAAAGATTCCGTCATATGTGACACTAAATCAAACACTCTGTACAAAGAGATTGTACGGTACACTGACATGTAGTTTGATACATAGTCAACACTGGAAAACCAGCAGTTTTGTCGCCTGCAATGCAAATAAGGAAACTGCACAAAGCGACAACCCTCAGCTCTGCCCAAGTTAACTAAGCAAAACTAAGAAATGAATGCCAATTTAAAATCAGGGGTGGACAGATTAATATGGAATTCAGGAGTCAGTCTGTCCAATCCAAGAGACAGGCAAACCACAGGATGGTTTTAGGAGCCAGCTCCATTGACAACAACTAGAAAAAGCCTCAAAAGTTAGGTGCCAGCTGTCATTTGTAAGGAGCATTGGCGACCTGGCTCCAGGGATTTGTCCAGCCCTGATTTAGAATTACAATATCAACTAAATATAGACAGAGACTCAACTGTAAAATGTTAGTTTATATCACTGTGAACTTCTGCAGAACGCTCATTCTTTATTTTGGTCACAGATGACCTTAATGTGATTATTTAGTACTGAATACTCACCAGACATGGTCAGTGCAATGGGTAGGAATGATCCTTCTTTAAGTCTTAAAGCCTAGAAGAAAGAAAGATACCAGTTGTAAGATATAACATTCTCTAATATGTTAGTATTTCTATAAATTATGTTTGGCTCTGTGTATTGTGCCTGTGATCTGAGCCGTCTTATAACAGCTTGATCACAGATTGTGCATGTGCCTACTCAGTCCCAGGCACTACCTGGTGTAGCATTACTGCACCCCCAGGTGCCATTCCATTATGAGGCAACATTATGAGACTAATAAGAGGTTCAGGTACACATCAGAACACCTAACACAATACACATATAAGTATTCCCGCACATATAAGAGGTTTAAGAATACTTTATGGTATTTTTCAGCATAGTGTTGCATTAAATGCACAATTCCATGTGTTAAGCACATGCTAAACCACAGCACACCTGGCTTGCTGGTACCATGCAACAGGTGGGCTGCATTGCCCCTGACAGCCATGCATTGATGTGCAACGCCTCGTACCGCAATACTGTGCTTTGCATTGAAAACAAGTATTTCATGCATTACTTTTTTTCACTGCAACGCATGGAATGTTGCCCATGGGCCTAACTAAAATCAATTTAGTGGGGCCCATCAAGAGGTTCTGTACCTTTAGAAAATCTATGGTTTGAGGGGGTCTTTCACAGATTTCCAAGGCTGTGATGTGCAAATTAAAATTCTGAGATATAAAATGTGAGGCATGGGTGACAGCGAGGGTTAAAGGAGAAATTCACTTTAAGACAAAGTGTACTTGTCTTTTTTGCCACCTTACATAAACTAACCCACCCTCCATTTCCACAGTTGTGTACTTACCTAGATCCAACGTTGATGAGGTGGTGATTGTTTACATCCTGGCCAGACTCGCACAATACAGCCCCATAGACTTCTATGGAACCATCTCCGGCCTCTGGAACACAGCACCATGGAAGTCTATGGGGCTGTAATGCACAGATGCGGCCAAGGGAGGGAAACTTGCAATGCTGAATGTAAACAATCACCAGAGGATCAGGGTATGTATCGGGTCAAGGTAGATATGCATCTGTGGAGGAGGGAGGGTGGATTCGGTTAGGTCAGGGCAAAAAAGGGTTAAGTGCACTTAACCCCTTAAATTATTGATATTCTTCTTAGAAAAAAAAAAAAGAACTCGATCACCTGTATCTACAAAGGGAAATATAATGAAACAGGCAGTGGAACTGGAAAGCATGTGGAAACTTCAATTACAAAACAAATAATTATACAGCACCATGTAACACGCTGATTAAAAAAGGCAAACCCTAACTACTAAGAGACCTCAACCCAAACAAAGCAGTTATTTCTTTATAACTGTCATTGTTTAATTACAGGGTTTGTTCCAAATATTGGATGGAGTGTCTACTTGAAATAAAGGAGAGCCTGACATGGCCTCAAAAGTTTACAAAATAATCTCATGGTACCTACAAGTACCTTCAAATGAATCCCTGTGTCCCCATGCAGCTGCTGCAGGGTGTACTTGCACTAGGTATGGTTTCCTTATACCCTGGCTAGGTATGACTGTCCCCCCCTCCCCTGCTGGTCTGCATTCACATTGTGCTGGGCCCAAGCACACTTCCTGTGCTTGCCCTGAGCACACTTCCTGTGCTCGCATTATCCTGGGCCCGAGCACACTTCCTGTGCTCACATTATCCTGGGCACGAGCACACTTCCTGTGCTTGCATTGTGCTGGACCCGAGCACACTTCCTGGGCTTGCATTGTCCTGGGCCCGAGCACACTTCCTGTTCTTGCATTGCTTTCACATTATGAGCTTGGGCAGCATTGGCTATCATACATATGTGTACCCTGCCATGTCCAACTGTACCGTGCCCCAGACTACCTCTTTTAAGCTGGGGCACAGTACCCTGAACCGTGTCCAAGCACAATACAAATCGATCACACAAGTCAAATTAACTGGACTTTGGGATGTCAAACGTGTTTGGGCACAGTACATACACCCTAGTAGGAGTGCACCCCTAGATCCTTGACTCAGGCTGTACATGGTGAAGATTAAAGTGACACTGCCAGGGGGTTAATACAACTATAATTGCAGTACTTTGTGAAGAAAGTAGCTTCATACTTGCCTGTCTGGTTTGCTAAATCCGTGCTCTGTGGCAGAGTTATCTGCGCGGTTCCTATTTGACTCCTCTGCTGTGTACCTCCACTGGCTGCTCCGGTTCCTCCTGCTGACCACTAAATCACTGCAGGAAACAATAAAGCGGTAGGGTTGATCAGGAGTAACTACATCAGGCAGCAGGGGACATGCTCTTCCACACATCCAAACGTGTGACAGGATCGGTAGTGGAAGCTGAGCTATAAATTAAAGTAGAAAACCAGTAAAAACAATTCCTTTCTGTTGGATAGAACAAGAAAGAATAAAAACGTCTGTGTCCCCTTTGAACAGGATTTCCTTCACTTCCAGTGACACTGGTCCTCAAGACAGGAGAACTCTCTAATAAGAACCTTCAAACCCAAATCAGCAATGACACCCCCCATAATTCTGTCTTGACTGGTCCATTTATTGCAGGATTGGCATAGAGAATACATTCCAATAGTTAGCCTCCCAATGTGCCCTTGTATTTGTGGTCACTATCACTGTAGCTTACCCTGAGCCGATTCCCCAAGGGATTCACCCTTTAGATTACACCTGAAGCCCTAATGTAGGGATCTGTGTTTATCCCTGAAATGGGTTGGCAATTTCATGCTTTTAGGCCTCATTCACATAGCTTAGAGTTGGCCCGTACAGATCCGTGCGGCGTGCACGGCCATATCGGGCCGTTCCCGGGAAGGACATCTTTGACAGCCATGACCCCACATGCAGTCTCTAATATTTTCCAGTTATGTTATGACTGGAAGAGCCATGAAAACCACGTAAACAAGTCTTTTAGTAGTTTAGATGTAAGCAGTATTTAGCGGCGCGCCCCCCCCCCTTGCCTGCCCAGTCATGTTATAGCTCATTGTTAACCCCTTCGTGACTTTTGCCGCCGGGACTCTGTTTAAACAGGAATATAACATGGGTGCAAAAAAATGAAAAAAAGGCCTCAGTCATGAAGGGGTTAAACTAGGACTTTCCTTTGTAAGATTGATTTTTTTAAAGTGCTCTTGCCGTCATGCGGAACATAAAACACAACAAAACAAACATTCTACAGCATTCCGGAGAATATTCCACTTTATAACCATTCCAAAAAATGTCCAGAGAGCCGACACAAACATTGAAAGCGCCATTTCATTCTTCTAAGGACGCAGAAATCCCGCTTCACATACTAGCATATTTGTGGTTATTTTTACTGCTTTCATTGTAGGAAAAAAATCCAACGCAAACAGTCTACAGGATTGTTCAAAGCTAAGTGGTTCTCCGGGGCTCAGGGTATCACCGGGTACATGACACAGCTACCAATGCACAATGCGCACAGATTCATTACAAGGCTCATACCAGTTTATTGCCCCTTTTTAAAAGATAATTCTACGGTTGGAGGAAGAAATTATTATTTTTTTTAAAAAGAGAGAGAGCCTAGTGTCGGTTTTTATAGAATTGAGCAACAATTCGAGCTTGTTCACAGCAGGCTGCGCGATAAAATGCTGCGGGCTGGTGTGCGTTCTGTAGGGGCCTTGGAACATGTTGCTACAACACATCACATTGTTTACATGTTTTCTTTATAAGGCCGAGGTCATCTTTCTTCTCCTTCTGTTACAGCTTTTCAAAGGCTTGAGGTGCCCAAGATCTTGCGATTATCGTTCAAAAAAACAAACGTGATCGGGTTTTCAGACGATAAATCGGCCAGTTGATGGGAAGTGAACTATCACAAAAACTGGGCGAATTTCCTCGATCGGTCAGGCTGGAAAACTCTTTTTGAAAAAACAAAAATTGATGGATTAGTGGCGTTTTCAGTGGGGGGGGGAAAAAAGAAAAAAAAAAATCGCAGCAAGAACACTACACACGCACAAACGAAAATCTATTCGGTCGATCGACGACAACGAACGATCAAAATTGGTCTGTGTATGATGGGGTATTTCAGCTAGAATCAAAAGAGGGTTCTTGGCAACAACGAAGATTTCCGATCAGATCGGAGTATGGCCAGCTTTAGTCCTGGTCCACACTGAGGGCCAGTTCACACCATATGCAGTTGTGATGCAGTCCGTTTATTTGACTGCTGCAGTCCAAATACATCACAATGCTTTCCTACGGTCTTTCTTGTGCTTCCTTCACACTATTGCAGCATGAATCAAGCACAAGAAAGACCGTAGGAAAGCATTGGGATGTATTTGGACTGCAGCAGTCAAATAAACGGACTGCATCACAACTGCATATGGTGTGAACTGGCCCTGAGCGTTTTGTAGCGTGTTTTCTGCCCTAAAAAAACACTCGAAAAATCTGCCCTCCAAAAAAATACCCATTCATTTCTATGGCCCTGTTCACACCTGAGCGTTATGTCGCAATAAGCAAAACGCACGCCGCTGAAAAAAGTACCGGAGCTTTTTTTTGGCATATTACAGCTTGTTTTGGCCCCATAGACTGAATAGGAAACGCTTGAAAACACCCGTTTGCTCTGTGTTTTTGTGTGTTTTCTCATTAACCTCAATGACCAACCATCTGCTCACAAAAACGCACTTATTGCCGTATGCGCATAAAAGACGCATAAACACTAGCGAAAACGTGCAGCAAAAACACTGTCACCTAGGTGTGAACCAGGCCTAAGTGTGCGTTCACACCGAAATCTGAAGGAAATCACAAGTCAATGGAGGGTTTGTTGTCTTGCAATTGTACCTTCCAATTTCCTTCCCATCCGTTGCGATCCAGTTTTCAGCAGATGCCAATGGAAGGGCACTGAAAAATAAATGGGTGTGATTGGGGCTGGTTCATACCGGATCTATTGCGCTACGTTGAAAAAAAAAAAGTAGTGTATGTTTTCCTTTTTTCAGCTAAACGTAACACAAATATTTATTTATTACAGATATTTATATAGCGCAGACAATATGCACAGTGCTTTACATCCTGCACATTCACATCCGTC